GCCCCGCACGGGCCCCCTCCAATCCTGGGACCCGCCGGCACCGGGAGCGGGGATACCCGGACGCGCCCGCTCGCGCACCTGGCGTCTTCACCCCTGCGCGCGGGCAGCGGGCCGCACCAGGGCGGGGTGCAGGGCGGTGACAGTCTCCGCTCTTAGGAAGTGAGTCCCCCCTTCAGGACGAGGGCAGAGGGGCAGGTGCCCCGTCCAGCCTCGGCGCACCAGGAGCGGAGCCTTACAGCCGAGCCCGGTGGGCCCAAGAGCCCAGGTACCCCAGGCGCGCAGCCTGTGACTAGAGAACCTGACCGGGCCGGCACCCTGGTGCGCAAAGAGGGCTCCCGGGAATGTCGCGGAACGTCCAGGTCAGGAGGGAAGATGCTGGAGCGTCCTACACTCGCGGACAGTCTGCCCTGGCCGGCATCCGTGCCACAGCCCTACAGGATGGAAACAGCTGGTCGAATACCACTTTAGAGATGGGGAAAGAGAGGCTCGGGGAGAGAGGTGCCTTCTGCAAGGTCTCTTGACCCTTTCTACATGGTCTGTTGGCTCGGCCTTGCCCACCTGCAGTTCCCTGGGGCATCCATCAGTGACCCACTTGGCAAAGTGACTCCCATTGGAGGTGATGACTTGGGGAAGCCTGTACTGCCTCTGAGGGGCGGTGAGCTTCAAAGCAAGGCCGAGACCTGCTGGGACTGGACACACTGTCTGGAGCTTCACACACACACACACACACACACACAGAGGCTCACCGATAGCAGGAAGGCAAGGCGGGGAGCGAGGCTGGGGAGGGTGCAGGCAGAAGTGGACCTGTGTCCTGCCTCTGCCCCTGCCACAGCTCCCCAGGCCACCCCCTGGATGCCGCCTCCCTCTCCAGCTGACGCCAAGAGGCCTCTGCCCTGGGTTCTAGTCACTCATGAGTTGTTACTTGTGACAAGTAATGAGTGGTGTGCACATGGCCCAGCCACCTGGGGGCCTCCAAGTCCTGGGGGCCACCATGACCCACAGACATTTCCAGAGCTCCCAGTCAGGGGCAGACCAGGTTGGAGAGGACATTCAGAGCCAGTGTGATGAAGGCCACTGATCGAAACTCCAACCTGGGTCCCAATGCCAGGGCTGCCCCTGCTTGGCGGGGCAAGCCTGGGCCCAGAGCCCCGTGGGCGGCTTGTTGGCACGGCACTGTCTGGGCAACATGCTGGGACACGTAGGGTCACAGGAAGTTCTTCCTCTGGTCTGACTTAAAATGGGACCTGCTCCAGCTGGGCTGGTGCTCCTTACACCCACCCTGCAGCAACCTGTCTCAGCAGCCACCACGCAGGGCTCCGAGTTCCGGCATCCATTGTCCCCAGCTGCCCTGGCAACTCTGCGCCACCACCTCCGTGGTCGTTCCCACCTAGCCTTTGTTCGAGCTGTTCCCTCGGCCAGGAATGCCTTTTCTCAATGCCCCGCCGGCCTGAGAGGAGAAAGACTTTCCAGGAGGAATTTCCAAGATGACATCGAACACGTTGGGATGGAGAGGAGATGGGGGTGGGATTGGAGGGGGAGTAAGGTCCAGGGAGGAGGAGTCTGCTTGGGAAGTTAGAGAGCTGAGCCCCTCAGTCCCCTGCCCATTATTTGGCTCCAGGTGAGAGGTAGGGGCAACTCTGGGGACATGTGTGTGGCAGCCATGGGGGGCTGTGTATTCACAGAGCCTGGAACCCAGATGTTGTCATTGTTAGGTGCCATCAACTTGGTTCCCACTCATAGCAACTCCACGCACAACAGAGCCCAACACTGCCTGCTCCTGCGCTGTCCTCACAGTCGTCGACATGTTTGAGCCCTTTGTCAGCCGCTGTGTCAACCCATCTCATGGCGGGGCTTCCTCTTTTCCTATTTTACCAAACATGACGTCCTTCTCCAGGCATTGGTCCCTCTTGATAACATGACCAGAGTCTGTGAGATGAAGTCTCACTATCCTTACTTCTAAAGAGCATCTTGGCTGCACTTCTTCCAAGACAGATTTGTTAGTTCTTCTGGTGGTCCACGGTCCTTTCAGCATTCTTCCCCAGCACCATAATTCAAAAGCATCAACTCTTCTTCGGTCTTCCTTATTCATTGTCCAGCTTTCACATGCAAATGAGGTGACCAGAAATACTATGGCTGGGGTCAGGTCCCAAAGATTGAAGTTATCAAAGACTTCATATTACTTGGTTCTACAATCAACACCAAGTAATTGTGTCAAGACATCAGATCACATATTGCATTGGGCAAATCTGCTGCAAAAGACCTCTTTCAAGTGCTGAAGAGCAAAGATGTCTCCTGGAAGACTAAGGTGCACCTAACCCAAGCCATGGTATTTTCAATCGCCTCTTATGCAATGAATAAGGAAGACAGAAGAGTTGATGCTTTTGAGTTGTGGTGCTGGAGAAGAATGCTAAGGGTACCACGGACTGCAAAAAGGACTAACAGATCTGTCCTGGAAGAATTGCAGCCAGAATGCTCCTTGGCAAGAATGGCCAGACTTCATCTCACCTACTTTGATCATGTTGTCACAAGGAACCATTCTTTGGAGAAGGATATCATGCTGGGTAAAGTGGAGGGTCAACAAAAAAGGGGAAGGACCTCAACAAGATGGTTTGATGCAGTGACTCCAGTGATGGGCTCAGGTATAGCAAGGATCATGAGGCTGGCAGAGGACCGGGCAGTGTTTCGTTCTGCTGTGCACAGGGTCACTGTGAGTTGGAGACAACTCGACGGCACCTAAAAACAACAACAGATGCACCTTTGTCTTCAAAGTGATGTATTTTCTTCTTAACACTTTAAAGAGGTCTTTTGCAGCAGATTTGCCCAATGCAATACGTCATTTGATTTCTTGGCTGTTGCTTCCATGGGTGTTGATTGTGGATCCAAACAAAATGAAATCTCTGACAACTTCACTCTTTTCTCCATGTATCATGATGTTGCTCACTGGTCCAGTTGTGAGGATTTTTGTTTTCTTTATATTGAGATGTAACCCATACTGAAGGCTGTATGTAGTCTTTGATCTTCATCATTAAGTGCTTCAAGTCTTCTTCACTTTCAGCAAGCAAGGTTGTATCATCTGCAATCTCAGGTTGTTAATGAGTCTTCCTCCAATTGTGATGTCACGTTCTTCTTCATATAGTCCAGCTTCTTAGATTATTTGCTCAGCATACAGACTGAATAAGTATGGGGAAATGATACAACCCTGTCATACACCCTTCCTGGTTTTAAACCATGCAGTGTCCCCTTGTTCTGTTTGAACAACTGCCTCTTGGTATTTGTACAGGTTCCTTCTGAGCATAAACCCAACAAATACTATGTTTACACTCTACTGTAGTTTATTATGAACAAGTTTGAAATATTACAAGAATGCCCAAAACGAGACACAGAGACACCAAGTGTTCTGGAATTCCCATTCTTCTCAATGTTATCCATAATTTATTGTGATCCACAGAGTTGAATACCTTTGCATAGTTCATAAAACACAAGTAAACATCTTCCTGGTATTCTCTGCTATCAGCTGAGATCCGTCTGACATCAGCAATGATATCCCTCATTCCATACTCTCTTCTGAATCCAGCTGGAATTTCTGGCAATTCTCTGTAGATGTACTGCTGCAAGCATTTTTCAATTATTTTCAGCAAAATTTTACTTGCCGGTGATACTAGCCATATTGTTCAACAATTTCCACATTCTGTGGGATCACCTTTCTTTCGAATTAACACAAATACGGATCTCTTCCAGCCAACTGGCCAGGTCACTGTCTTCCAAATATCTTGGCATAAATGTGTGAGCACTTCCAGTGTTGCTTCTGTTTGTTGAAACATCTCAATGGGTATTCCGTCAGGTCTGAGAGCCTTGTTTTTCACCAATTCCTTCAGTGCACTTGGACTTCTTCCTGCAGTACCATCAGTTCTTGATCATATCCCACCTCCTGAAATGGTTAACATCAACCAATTATTTTTGGTACAGTGACTGTGTATTCCTTCCATCTTCTTTTGATGTTTCTTGCATCATTCAATATTTTGTCCACAGAATCCTTTAATATGGCAACTCAGAGCTTGAATTTTTTTCTTCAGTTCTTTCAGCTTGAGAAATGCCAAGTGTGTTCTTCTTTTTGATTTTCTAACTCTGGATCCTTACACGCTTCACTATTACACTGTCTTTTGAGCTCCCCTTTGAAATCTTCGGTTCAGCGCTTTTACTTCATATTCCTTCCTTTCACTTTAGCTACTCTCTGTTCAAGAGCAAATTTCAGTCTCTTCTGACACCCATTTTGGTCTTTTCTTTCTTTCCTGCCTTTTTAATGACTTTTTGCTTTTTTCATGGATGATGTCCTCGATGTCATCCCACAACTCATCTGGCTTTCAGTCATCAATGTTCAATGCATCCAATCTGTTCTCGAGCTGGTCTCTAAATTCGGGTGGGCTATATTCAGGGTCACACTTTGGCTCTCATGGACTTAATTTTCTTCAGCTTCAACCTGAACTTGCATAGGAGCAAGTTCTGAAGTTGGTGCCTGGCCTTTTCCTTACTGGTGATACTGAGCTTTCTGCCTTTTTCCACAGCTGAAATGGATCAGGCTCCTGTGTATTTCATCCAGCAAGGTCCAAGCATATAGTCACCACTTATGCTGTTGGAAAGGTATTTGGAATGAATTTACCGTTGATCTTGCAAGATCCTAGCATGCAATGTCAGCATTGTTTCTGTCACCAAAGCCCTATTTTCCAGCCACCGATCCTTCTTCCTTGGCTACGACTTCTGCTTCCCCATCGCCGGTAATTACCAATGCATATCAGCTACATGTTTGGTCAATTCCAGGCTGCAGAAGTTGGTGGGAATCTTCAGTTTCTTCATCTTCGGCTTTAGTGGTTGGTGCATAAATTTGAATAATAATAATATTAACTGGTCTTCCTTGTAGGCATATGGATATTATCCTATCACTGACGGTGTAGTACTTCAGGATACATCTTGACATGTTCTTTTTGGTAATGAATATGATGGCATTCCTCTTCGACTTGCCATTCCCGGCATAGTAGACCATAGGACTATCCAATTCAAAATGACCAGCACTAGTCTATTGCAGCTCACTGGTGGCATTTCATTTCGGATGACTTTCCATTCTCCTAAATTCCTACTTCATACCACGTTCTGATTATTCATGGGTGCCTGCAGCTGTGTCTTCTCATTTTGAGTTGTACCCCATCATTAAATGGAGATCCTGGAAGTCTTACTCCACCCGTGTCATGAAGGTCAACGCGACTTCAGGGAGGCAGCACTAGCCCAGTCGTGTCTTGAGTGCCCTCCAACCTGAGGGGCTCATGCCGGCATCACATCAGACATTTCACTGCTCTTCACAAAGGTTTCCAGGAACACGTCAGACAGTGTCCAGCTGCCCGAAGGTGCCGGGTCTTTTACAAACACATCTCCAGCCCTTTCTTCCCAGTCTCTCTTGCCCTGGACGCTCCACTGAAACCTGTCCACCACAGGTGACCCTGTTGGTACCTGGAATTCCGTGGCATAGCCTCCGGCACCAGGGCGCCATGCAAAGCACCGCAGTGCACTAAACTGATGGAGGAGGAAGCCCAAATCCACTGCCGCCAAGTCGATTCCAGCTCACGACGACCCTATAGAACAGGGTGGAACCGCACTGCAGGGTTTCCAAAGCCATCCATCTTTACGGAAGCAGACTGCCTCATCTTTCTCCCGTGGAGCAGCTGGTGGGTTCAAACCGCCGACCTTTCGGTTAGCAGCCAAATGCTTGAACCACTGCACCACTGGAGCTCCTGACAGACGAGTAGGTACTCAATAAATGCCGATATGGTGAAGGGCATAAATGAGGGGAGGGATCAGAGGAGGCTTCCTGGAGGAGGAGGAGAACACACCCCAGGCAGAGCAAACAGCATGGATAAGGGCTCCACAGCAGAGAACCTGGCGGAGGGGGGAACTAGGTGGCGCTCAGGACCTCCTGGGTGTGGCTGAGGGAACAGTGCCCGACAGTGCCCTGCCCTTGGGTCCCAGCCCCACCCTCCTGGAGCCACAAGGCTGCCGGCGGGCTCCACCGCCCAGCTCTGGCCCCTTCTGAGTGGGGACCTTATCCTGCTTCTGAGGAGTGTGTTTTCTTCAGCAGACAATTCAGCACCATGTAACTCACCGTGTGGAGCAGACACGTCAGTGTGGTTGTTATGTCCACAGAGCTGTGCAGCCATCACTACTGTGAATTCTACAACGTTTTCGTCACCCCGAAAAGAACCCAGAGCCTGCAGCAGTCGCTGCCCACACCTGTATCCCCAGTCCCCAGCAGCCACTCACTTGCTCCCTGTGTCTATGAACGTGCTAGTCTGGACGTTTCATGTCCATGGAATCGTACAATGTATGCTCTTCTGACACCGGCCTCTTTCTCTGAGTGTAATGTTTGCAAGGGCCATCCACCTCGCAGCATGGATCAGAATTTCATTTCTCTTTATGGGTGAGTAATATTCCACGGTATGGATAGACCCGGACATTTGGGTTGTTTCTGCTCATCGGCTGTTGTGAATGGTGTCACTGCCAGCAAATTTCTGTGTGGACATGCCCTCTCGTCTCTCTTGGGTCCATACCTAGGAGCGGAATTGCCGAGCGACATGGTAGCTCTAGTTGAACCTTCATTGACTTGTGTTTGAAGGTTAAATGTAGTTGTTACAGGAATTTCCTCTCCATTCTCCTCACTTGAAGGGCTGCTTCCTGCCCCCTCCCTGAGCCCCAGGTCTCAACAGCTCTTCCACTCTGAGCCTACCCCGCCCTGCCACCAGGGTCCAACCACCAACCCCCACTGCTCCTGTGCACCCATGGATGGTGAATCCCCCTCTCTGAGCCACTCGGTGAAAAGTGACTTTTAGGCTCTGAAAGGACTCAGGCCATGGGGTTACGTGGCGGGTGGTACCCCCGCACCCTGGGAGGGTCACCCTCCCCTCTGTCTTGTGGAGCCCCCTCTGACAAAAGGCCAAAAGTTTCACCAACTTCCTCCTGTCCCAGCTGGCTTCTCCTGAGAGCAATGCCTGTCTCACTCAGGCTGATGGCCAGGCAGAGGGCCCATCTGTCCATCCTGGGTGGTCAGACATATGGCCAGAAGGAGAGAGATTTAGGAGGGAGATGGCACGGAGGGCCGGAGCAGGAGGCGACAGCAGTGAGGGGGGTCAGAGAAGGGAGAGAAGCCCCCGGAATCCAGGGGCCCAGGTCTCAGTAGGCAGGAGGGGGGCTGGCCTGGCCTCACAGCTCCCAGCTATGCAAAGGCCCTTGGTGTCCCCGTCACAGACTGTGATGATTTGCTTGTGGTGACCTTAATGCCCATCTGTCTCCACCTGCCCAGGAGGTGGGCACCAGCCAGGGGACCAGGTGAAGCGGGCTCCCTGCTGTTGTTCCACACTTAACCACTAGGGTGCGCTCAGACCCGTTTACTTAGAGAGTGTATGTGCGTGCAGGGGCGGGCATATGTGTGTCTCTGTGTGTCTGTCTGTGTGTGCACCCCTCCTCTCTCCTCTGCCACCCCTTCCCCAGCCTGGGCCCCTGCAGGCTGCAGGGCGGGGCCTCTGGGATGTGATTACGGCGACGCCATGGGGCTCCTCCCTCTGTGGGGGACAGCTGGGGCAAATTTCACACATGTGGAGCCTCCAGGAAGTCCCGCCCCCAGAACCACGCCCTTACCCCCCAGACAATCTCCTGCAGCCGCTGGGGATTCCCGAACTGTGAGGGGGGCAAGGGGTGGGGCTGCGGCCAGAGAGCAGGCCCAGCTGTCCTTGATTTGTGTGGCATTTTTCTACTTCAGATACTAGGTTCCACAGGGCACGAAGAGCAGGCAGTTCCTTTGGGGCAGGGGTCCCTGAGAGCCCCCCAACACAGCCCACTGTTCCGAGCTATCTGGGAGGAGGCAGGAGCCCATTGCTGGGGCGCTGTGAGGACACAGCCAGTGCAGTAGTAAATCCACTGCTTTAGGGGCATGTGGCCTGATTCAAGCCCAACTCTGTCCCTCCTCGGACATGGCCTTGGCAGGTGGCGGCCTCTCTGAACCTCACTTTCCTTGTGTATAAGACAAGGGTGGTAACAGCTCCCACCCCTCGGGTGGCTTCCTTGGGGTCACTGCTGGTGAACAGCGTCTCTGTCCTCAGATGGTGGGCCAGTCCAGCTTCCTGGAACCCACATCTTGTTCCTAGAGATCAGCTGGGCCAGAGAATGGCGTGGGGGCCCGGGTTTGGGGGCACACTAGGCTCCCAGGGTCAGGAGGGACCACACGAAAACCTTCCCTTGGGGAGAAGTGAAGAGGAATAAAGTTTTTCCTAGCTCGATAGCCATCCGGAGCGGTCATACGCTGCAGGACCAAGGGACCAATGGGTGGAAGGGAACCCGGAGCCAGCCCAGAGCTGACTCCTCAGACAGACCTCACCTGGCCCCTCTCCCCCCCCAGTGCCGCCTCCCCACACCGCGCCAGCCCTTTGAAGCCCAGAGCAGCTTGTAAACGTCCTGACTGGAGATGAAACATGATAAGACATGAAACCAGGGCCTAAACCATAGATAATCTCCAGGGTTTTACAAGTAACAAGTCTGGAGACAGGCTCAGGGGGTGTGAGGGCTGAGGCTGCGGGGCTTGGGGCCTGAGTTCTGGGGGCGAGGAGCTTGGACAGTAGCCCCCAGCCCCCTCGCCAGCAGCCTCCCCTTCAGTCTGACCCTGGAGCCCCATCCCTCAGCTTGTCTTCAGTTATCCCGAGCCTGAGTGCCTAGGGCTGGGATAGGGGATGGCTGGTCCCAGGGCCCCTGCATCCGGCAGACTAGGAACACGCACTCGGGACACGCGAGGCCCAAACTCATTGCCATTGCGTCGTTTTGACTCATAGCAACCACTTCTTAGGTTTCCAAGGCAGTATCTCTATGGAAATAGATTGCCCAGTCTTCCTTCCGAGGAGGGGCTGGTGGGTTTGAACTGCCAACCTTCTGGTTAGCAGTCACCAGAGCTCCTATGGGCAATAAAGCAGCCTTACTATGTTGAACAAAGCTGTGGATTTATGGGTGGGAAATCAAGCGGGAGGGCTGGGCCTGTGGGAACCACTCACAGGTTACCTGTCTAATTACAGTTCTGGCTTAGGGAGCTACAGGGCCGGCGCAGTCGTGGGGAGAAGAGTGGGCAGGGAAGACAGGGGCCCTAGAAACTGTGCGCGCAGGGCCCGGGTGGCAGCAGGGAGAGAGGGGGCGGGCCTCAGTACAGGTGGGGCTTGCACTCTGCCCTGCAAAGGGCTGGGGCTGCCTCCACCGCATCCCGCCTCCGCCGTTCCCACGTCTGCCCCTGCCGCCCGGCCCTGCTCGGGCTGACTCAGGAAGGGGCCCCCCGGGGCACCATTGCTCTCCCTGCATGGGTCACTGTCGCAAAACTCAGCAAAGGTGTGTCTCCTCGCCAGTCCCTGAATCTTCGGGCGCACGGAAGCCTCGGCCCGTAACTCCATGGGGACCGAATGGTCAGCAAGCGTGCCCGAAGGGAGTAAGGGACGCCTGCCTTGACCCCACTCGGTGTCGGGGCAGCTCAGGGGCACGAGAACCCGGGGTTCTCTGGGGAGCGGCTACTGCGCCCCCAGCGGCCACCGGGAGAACTGCAGCGCCGCCTTCGCTCCAGGCGCGCCTGCGCAGTGAGACCCGCCTGGCCCTGGCGCACGCGGAGAGCGAAGCGAGTGCGGCCCCTGGCGGTAGACCCAGCGCACAGCTCCCCGGGGAGGTGGCCTTGAGGACTGGGGGACTCAGTTGGGGTGGTCGCGCTGAGCCTCCTACCAGGGCTCTTTATGGGGGGAGATGATGTGATGACCTCGGCCTGGCTTGGCGGTGCCCTTTGCCGACCCATCCGGACGCCCCCTCCCTCCTGGCTGCCCGGGCCGCATGCACGGTCAGGGGGTCCCTGGGACCTTCCCGTGGGCCGTACCCCCATAAGGATCGCAGCTCCCACTCGTGTCACAAGGGAAAGCCGCGAGGGAGCAAACCGAAGCATTGTAAAGTCACTCGTCCCTTCGGCAAACGTTTGTGAGCGCTGCGCTGGGGCGGGGGCTCCGGGGATGGGGGGCGTCCCAGACACTTCCCTTTCTCCGCGGAGCCTCGCCCGGATGCCCCTCTCCCGGCTGCCCTTGCGCCGGACCCCAGGCTTGCGACGCCGCCTGTAGGCTGTACTTGGCAGTGCGGGTGGGGCTCGCCCTGGAGAGGGGAGGGGAGGGGCTGGCCCTCAAAGAGATTTGTTTCTTGGGGGAGCTGTGGTGTAACCCCGCAGTGGGGGCGTGGTGCTTCTAGTGTTGTACGAGAAAACGCTGTAGGAGTTGGACACGTCATCCCCCCCACCCTGGGAGGGACCATCGACCCATGCATGGAGGCCTGGGGGGGCTCAGTCTGCCCTCCCCACAGCGTGCCAATCCCACTGGACCTCCGTGGCCCACCCCACCCCGTTAACATGAATGTGCAAATGAGTGAGGATGTCTGGGGTGCAGGGACCCAGGCTCTCCCATGCCCCAGCACCCTCCTAGCTGACCAACTGGGCTCCAGTAGAAAGGGTCCCTGCGGCGGCTGGCAAAGCAGCCCCAGGGGTGCAGCCCTGGATACCTGGCCCAGTCTGGAAGAGGACTGGGCCCCTGCTCAGGGCCACCTGGCGTCAGGGGAGAGGGGAAGGGCCTGGGCCGGGGCTGACCACTGAGCCAGCCGCTTGCTGCCCAGAACACCAGCCACCTGCAATGTGCCTGCTGCCTCCAAGTTGGTGGTGGTGTCAATCAAGTTGGTTCCAACACATGGTGACCCCATGGGGTAGAGAGCAGAACTGCCCCAGAACGTTTTCCTGGCTGTCATCTTTACAGGTGGCCAGGTCTTTGTCCTGCAGGGCCACTGGGTGGGTTTGAATGGCCATGGCTGGGCTCAAAGGTAGCCAAGGCCTTTCCAGAGCTGATGTTAACTGTTGGGGTGAAAGAGAGCCAAGAAGTACAGGTGGTGCAGTGCCTCAGGCATTTGACTGCTAGCCGGAAGGTTGGTGGTTCAAACCCACCAGCTGCTCTGAGAAGGATGGTGAGGTAATCTACTTTTACCACCTTAGAAACCCAATGGTGGTCTCTGTGAGTTGCAATTGACTTAATGGCAGTGGTTTTTTTTTTTAGGTAGAGGGGGCCCCCTGCAGCCCTGCTCACAGGCCCCTAATGGCAGGGGTGGCTCTTCCCAGTGTACCCAGCTGTTCAGCCTCAGGCAAGTCACTGGCTGAGCCTTTCCTGCCTGGACGAGTTCCTGTCACATTTGGGTTACCGTCTGGATGCCTTGTGGGGCTGCCTGTGAAGACGGTCGCTGCGCCATCACACACACGCTCACTCCCTGCTCACCTGCGAGGCCACATCTGGGCAGGCCCAGGCTGGGACGGTGCCTGGGGACCCACCGGACCAGCCATGACGAGGACAGCCCAGAGTCAGGCTCCACTCGAGTGGCGACTAGGCGGGGATGCAGAGGGGTCCACGCAGGAGGAAGACAGGGACAGGGACATTTCCCGGCATGGCAGGCACTGCTGGCCACTCCAGGGCCGGCGATGAAATGGCTTCCAAACAGGGAGGGGGGCCCAAGGCGTGCAGGCAGCCCCCCCAGGGCTCCCTCAGGGCCATCAGTGCCGACACCTCCCCAGGAAGACCAGCCCCCCAGGGCAAGGCCCTGCCCATCTTGCTCAGCAGAGGAGCTGGTGAGGCAGGTGAGAGCAATGGAAGACTGTGAAAGCCACCTTTGGCTTTAATAAACACGGCAGCCTGGTGTCCTTAGTTTATTGATTTCCACCTGCTCTGGCCAGAAAAGGATCAGGAGGGAGGGGCCTGTGGTACCTCCCACCGCCTGGATGGCAAGAGCTTGGAGCGGGCATGTTAAGGCATGGCCACCATGTCCTGCGGGGACTTGGCAGGAGTGTACCATAGGATAGGACCTCCGGGGCCCCTCCTGGGGCTGTTCAGATGCCACAGAGTCACAGCTGCCTTCCCTGTGGACTGTGGCCTGGGGGTTTGGGGTTCACCTCTCACAGAGAGAAGTGGGGGACTGTGCCATGAGCCTGCTCCCCCAGCGGGTCACGAACCATCAGCGCCCTGGTGGGCCTGGAAGGGTTTAACCAGAACGAATCATGTAGTGACCAGGACTGGAGCAGCCGGCCCGGATGGCCTCACAGTGTGGGGACTGGCCCAGGCCTTGGCGAGGGCTGGAGCCTCTCTGGGAATCGGGCCCTGCGAGGGTGAGTCCAGACAGGCAGGGAGGGGTGGCCAAGCCGGGGAGAGAAGCTGGGGGTGCAGGGTCGTTCCAGACACGAAGCCCAGAGTCTGAAGCCAAGGGGAGCCCTGCTCGACCGCTCAGCCCCACCCTGGCGCAGCGGGGCGCCTGCCACCAGGAAGGACCTGCCTGGTCCTAGCTGCTCCAGCCGCTGCCCCATCCCACCCTCCCCGCCTGAATGTCAGTGAGCTCCAGTTCCAACGACGGGTGGCCAGAGCGCAGCCGATGTGTGTGCCCACTCGGGGGCCGTGGGCTGCCCGCTTACTTCCCCTGGGACGAAGACATTTCTTTGTCTGTAAGAAAAGGGAGAGGAGAGATGATTTCAGACCCCTCTCCCTGGGCTGGCCTGCCCCCCCAGCCCACAGGCCTGGGGAGCTTCGGGAACCAGGACACCAACTTTTGTCCCCTGAGACTGCAGGAGAACCAGGAAGACTCCTCCCTCCACGAAGATAAGTAAGGATGTCAACACAAAGCAGGAAGTATTACCACACGCGTGCGGCTCTTATGCACTTAACTTCACAGCAAGGGCAACAAGGAGGGGCCGGGATGATTGTTCACAGAGGAGGAAACTGAGTCTGCATACTGACGAGGCCTGGGGAGGGGCTCCAAGGGTGGCGGGCATACAGGTGGGTGAGGAGGATTTGGCAGGGTTGATGTGATAGAAAGGGGCCCCGGGGGTGCAGCTGCTATCTGACAGGTCGGTGGTTTGAACCCACCAGCCGCTCTGCAGGAGAAAGATGTGGCAGTCTGCTTCCACAAAGATTCTAGCCTTGGAAACCATCTGGGGCTGTTCTACTCTGTTCCATAGGGTCACTGTGAGTTGGAATTAATGGCAGCAGGGTTGGAGTTTGTTTTTATGGGATGGGAGCCCTAGTAAGAGACCAGGATGACTCTGCTGAGCTCAGACACGACACAGAAATGAAACGGCGTAACCTGGACACCAACGACGCACAGTAAGACCACCACCGACTGGGGCACACAGTTCCTGAGTGTTTGGGGAATGCCAGGCCTTGGCGGCTTGCATGCCTTTGTCTTCAACAACCCCGTGAAGGAGACAAGGCTCCCATACCAACCAGCCGAGAAGCCTCTGCCCGCCTGGCCGCCTGCTCCAGCCGCAGGGAAAGGCCAGGTCTCCAGAAAGATCCTCCACCACACTTGCGCTCGGATGTCCCTTCTGGGACACGCGTGATCAGTGCGGCAGAGGAGGCAGGACCAAGCCCCCATCCCTGCCCTCTCAGGGCGACCCCAGGTAGAGTGATGTGGTCACTGGACATGGACAGGGAACAGATATCTCCCCGACCCTCGGCAGGAGGGCACGCTCACCTTTGGGGACGAATTTCAGCGAGCTGCTGAAGATTCAGAAGCGGGATTGCCCCCGCTTGGGGCCGTCCCGGAGGAATTCATGGCCCAGCCCGTTGCCACATCTGCCACAGGACACCTGGGAAGACCACACAATGGCCACGTGAGCTCCCGGCCCACAAAGTGCAGCTGCAGCGATGGCTCCGGGGCCATCGGCAGATGGTGTTGCTCCCTGCACGTCCATCCCCAAGCCGGCTGCTGATGGCGACGGTGACCTCCGTGCCAGTGCCAGGAACAACGCCCCATTCCCTGTGTTCACACCAGGGCACTGTACCCCCCCAATAGTTTAGGGAGACAGCTCCCCTGGCTGAGGCCAGAAAATAGGCCGATTCTCAGCCCCTACAGTCGGGGAGCACAGACGAGGCCCCTGTGGCCAGCACCCACCTTTAAGGCTTCAGGCCGATTGTGCTCCGGACGCTTGGTGACACTGTCGGCATGGATGGTCTCGGTGAACGCTGGCCACGGAGATGAGTGCACGTACTTTGAGCGGCTGGAGAACAGCTCGAAGCCACACTTGGCACACACGTAGATACCTGGAGACAGAAGGAGGAAAACAAGGGCCGTCAGGCTCCAACTGCTCGGTGGTGGGCTCCAGACCCAGGTGAAGACAGCGCTGCCCCCATCACAAGGGCGGGCTGCAGACCATCCCCACACTGCCACCCACAGGCCATGCTACTGGCTCTTCAGAGGAGACATGCACTGACTGACACCCCCCTTCTCAAATGACCACTGAAGCCCTGAGCTGGCCACGCACCCACAGGCCTGCTCCCAGGCCGGAGAATGGTCCCTGGACAGACAAGACGCCCAGGAAGACAGAAAGGGAGGCCAAGGAGAAGGAGCTATTTCAACCCATCCCCAAAAGTCACTTGTGGAGGCAGGGGGAAGTTACAAAACAAATTTGTAAAACTACTGAAAGCCCGTAAACAGGAAGCGGGGGCCGCCTTCCAGGGGCTCTGAGGAACCATTTTCCTGCATCCCCACAGTCTCCTGAGGTGTCCGAGATCTACTGAGCCTTTGCTAAGAATTCAGGAGTTTCAGGTTTGCTCGAGCCGCTGGGGCCAACGGAGGCCGGGCAGCCAGAGGGTCTCAGAGCAGGGCTTTGCTCAGGTGGTCTTTGTCACTGCTGGCACAAGTGGCCCCGTGTGACAGCCCAGCCATCCTGCCAGTCACTTGTTTCCCTGGAGAGACAGGCTGCCCTGGCCTTGCCCGTGGCCAGGTGTTTACCAAATCAGTCCGTTAGCAGGAGATCCAGCCCTCTAAGGAACTCACTGAGGGCCGACCTTCCACAGAACGCTCACCCCCCCAGGCTGTCCAGTCAAACTTCAAAGTTCGCAGAGGGCGGACTGCAGCACAGCCCAGGGGGCCATTGCTGGTTACCCAACCGGGACAGGCTGAGCGGGTGGGGGAGGCGGCAGGCCGGCACATTCGGACGCGAACGATCCGGCCCTGTGCCTGCGGACTTTCAGACCTGCAGGACCTGTAGGGCCGCGGAAGGACCCCTGGACAAGCCCTTCCGAAGTCCGGACCCCGACCCGGATCCCGCCCTCGTCCCCACCCGCCCACCTCCTCTCCCGCACACATTCCTCTGCATCTCCGGACTGGAGGACAGCGACCCCGCCCTTTGATGTCCCCTCTCCCTTGCGGGACCCCAGACTTGTGCTCTGCCGCGCGATCTCCTTACCCACGACGGCTCCTCCCCGATGACCCCGCTACCCCCCATTCCCGGGGCTTCATCACCCCCCGAGGACAGCGACGCCCCCTTCCTGCGCTGTCACTGTCCCGCCGCCCTCCCCAAGCGAGGGCCGCAGTCTGTACCCGGCTCAAAGTGGTTCTGGAAAACCTCGCCCCCAAAGAAGCTGCAGAAAGACATGGCGCCACCACGCCCGCTGCGCGCTGCCTGCCACCGAAAGCCCCGAGGCCATCGACCCCACAACCGCAGGACCTCGCCCCTTCCCCTAGAACCAATCACACTCGGCATCACGGACTACCGCCCCGCTCCTGTAGGTCCCGCCCCATCCAGGGGGCCAATCAAGCCCAGGAACTCCAAGACAATTCCCGCCCCACCGAGGCCCGCCTCCTGAGGGCCCGCCCTTTCCTGAGGACCAATCTTCTTCTTCCCTGGAATACGGCTTTCGGCTTCCGGCTCAGGAGGCCCCGCCCCCTCCCGAGGACCTGTCCTATCCCGTCTTCGCAGAAGGTCTCGCCCCTCAACTACAGCCCCGCCTAAGGATCCCTGCTGGGCCATTTAGCCGAGGCCCCGCCCCCCCAAGGATAAACCCCAATCGCTCCACGGGGCTCCGCCAGGAGGCCCCGCCTCCCCTCGAACGCCACTGGGTGCCTCTGAGCTGCACTAGAGAGCGGCCGGGCGCACCTGAATCCCAGGCCTGCGTTCGGGGTGGCGTTCACGGCCGCACCTTCCGAGCCGCGTCCCTTCGTCTTGTCCCCGGCCACGTCCAGTGCAACCTTGCCGCGTCCCCCCATTGCCGAGACACCACGGCAAAAGCTGCCCCAGGCCTTTATTAGACAAGCGGGCGCGGGGGACTGTGTCTCTTTCAGGGTCTGTCCCACGCTGCCTACAAGTCTCCCGAGGTCTGCGGCTCTTCCTTCTCCCGATGCTTCTTCTGGGGGCCCTAAGGTGGGGGCAAGGGGAGTGTTTGTCACAGGGGTCCGGCTGAGGATACAGCCTGTAGCCAGCCACCAGGTCCACCCATGGTGGGCCCTGTGTGCCCTCCCACGGCCCCTCTTCCAGCAAGTCAGCAAGGGCCAGACCTCTAAAAGCTGCCTCCTGGAATGAGTGAGGGGGCCTGCTGCCACCCCCAGCTTCCTTCCCTGCGGTAGGGGGTGTAGGGGTGACAGCAGGCAGTCTGGGGACCAGGTGAGCTCACCATGAACACCCTCTTCTCTTGAGCAGTCTGGAAGCGGCCATGGCCGAACTTGGAGGTGGTGTCGATGAACTTCAGCTCGATGTTCTCCAGCACCCGGCGGTTGTGCTGCACCCGGAGGGACTGAGGAGCCGTGGGAGAAGGGAGGGTCAAGGCCAGCACCCCCTGCCTGTCACCCCAGTCCACGTCTTTGCTCCCACAGTTACCCCCTCCAGAAATTCCTCCCAGAACCCCCCTCTGCTCCACCGCCAGTCCCTTCTCCTGCAGCTGGCCTGCCCCCAGGCGCTCACTGCCCACCACCCACCTTCCTCAGCGTGATGACCCTCTTTTTGGTGCCTGCAATACAGCCCTTCAGCATGACAAAGTCATTGTTGACTTCTCCGTAGTGAGGGAAGCCGCCCTGCGCGAGAGGCTGGGTCAGGGGCTGCCAATTCTGGGGGTACTGGGAGAACACCCCACCCCGCGGTGATTGGAAGGAGCCCTGTGCACGGCCCCCAGGGGTTGGGGTGACACCCTCAAGGGCTTGATTAATCACTGCTCCTCAAGCAGCCTCTCCGTTAAGTCCTTTTGGGTGTGCAGCTCATTGAATGATCTCCTTGCACACGGGGACACTGAGGTGCTGAGCTGGTACGTACAGGACCTGGGGTTTGAGCCCAGGCGGCCTGACGTCAAGGCCATGGAGCTCCTGCAGTCTCGTTGTTAGAGAGTGGATGGGCACAGGGAGGGCCAAGGGTCCTGGCCACCAAGGCGGCTGGTCCATGTTGAGCCCTTGGGGCAGCGTAGCCCCGGCCAGGCTGGCTGCAGGGCCACCCCCGCCCACACCAGCCCCCACGGCCAGCCTGGCTGCCCTCACCAGCGGCGTGATGGACTTGTCAGTCATGTCGTAGTTGGTGGAGGCATTGTTCCTCACCAGCTTCCCCTCCTCCATGTGCAGCCCCCGGCCGATGCGGTAGATCTGAGGGGGAGGGGCACACTGGGGCATGAGGGGGCTTCCGGGGCCAGCGGCACGTCCACACCCGTCAGTCACGTGTGCTCCGGCAAAGGGCGCTGGAGGAAGCATCTCAGAGCCCTTGCGGGGGGTTAGTGTCTGGGTCACGCGCCCCGCCTGCTGGACCCACCTTCTTGTTGAGCTCCGTGCGATGGTGGTAGCCCTTCTGGCCGGCCCGGGCAATGGAGCAGCCGACACGGGCGGGGTGCCAGGCGCCAATACAGGCCACCTTGCGCAGCCCCTTGTGGGTCTTACGGGGCAGCTTCTTGGTATGCCAGCGGCTTGTGACTCCTGCAGCGAGAGGGGCCTGGGGGCTGAGCGGCAGGCCTGGACCCTTTGGAAGCCTTCCCTGGAGCCGCCACCCCCACCCAGCGCTACCTTTGGAGCCGTGGCCCTTGGTGACAGCGATGACATCAATGACCTCACTCTGGCTGAACACACTGTGCACCGGCACCTGCTTCTCCAGCCGGGCCTGCGCCCAGGCCACCTTCTCGGCCACCGTGCCGCCATTCAGCTGGATCTCCATGATGTGGGCTTTCTTCTGTCTGAACGGAAGCAGCTTCATCTGCAAGTCGGAGGTGGCAGGCGGTTCTTGCAGGTCGCACCCTGATCTGCAGAGCCGGCGTGGCCACCCGCTGCATTCCCCCAGCAGGTATCCCCCAGCACGCTGGGGCTGCGGTGAGGAATGGTAAAGGCAGGTCCCAGCCCCCCCGGAGCCACCGTCTAGTCAAGGGACCGTCAGAGACCAAGCGAATTCTGAGAAAGGACTAAGCACTCTTTGGGACGTGGGGATCGTTATTTCAGAGGCAGGGGAGTTTCTCAAGAAGCAGCCACTGGACAAGGACCTGGGAGCTTGTTGGGCGAGAAGAATAGGAGGTGCAAAGGCCCTGTGGCTGGGAAGACCTGGGGCGCTGGTGCACCAGACGGAGGCCATGGTGGCTAGAAGCCTGTGGTACAGGATGGGGTCCAAGGTGGGCAGGGGCTGGGCCGGGATGGTCTTGTAAGCCACAGGAAGCAGTTCTAGCTCTTCTTGCAAGTTGTGGTGCGGTGAAGCACTTGGTACGGCTTTTTGTCTTTGTGACTGACTCCCTCTAGCTTACTGGGTGGGATCATGTAAATGAGGTGTGTGGAAGACTAATGTAAAGATTGGTTTATCTTGCTGTGCTGCTGGGTTTCAAATGAGCCCTCCTCGAGGCAGGGAGGGGATCTCACTGCCATCAAAAGAGAAGAGCTAGGGGGGAAGTGGAGTGTGTCCTTGGACCCGAGAGCCCTGTGCTGAACCTCCTTGTCAGAGACGCCCTCGCACAGACACCCGGCTGACAGACAGCAGCATTGGAACGAAGAAGCATGAGACAACGGTGACCTTGCCGACCCACAGAACGAGAAGGCTGAGTGCCTTTGGGGGAGGCTTGCTGGCGGAGTGGGGTGCAGGTAGGTGCACCTCTCGGCAGAGCTAAAAGAGCCATGTAACCCCTGCCTGAGCAGGGCAGAGGCCAGGCCGAGAGGCCAAGGGCCAGAGAGGTGAGCCTGAGGGCACAGCAGGGAGGAGACTGTCCTGAGGGAATAACTGTATCCTGAGAGCATCCCTGAACCTGAACAGTGGCCTGTTTCCTCCCTAGTAAACCCCGTAATTGTGAGTATTCTCTGCGAGTTCTGTGCGGCCATTGCAAGAATTACTGAACTGGGCAGAGAAGTATTGAGTGCCGTGGGAGGGACGGTGGGTGTCAGAGTTGGTAAAAGGCTGGAGAGTGATGGCATGTCTGGCCTCACAGGAAACAGCCTTGGGCTGCTGATGGCGACTTAGTCCCCACCTCGTGATGTCAGAGGAGATCAGAGATGCCACCTCCGTGCCTTTGTTGTACGAGTAGAGATGTGACTGGATGCATTTTTTTTTTTTAAAGATCTCTGGCCTGGGCTCTGGCGATGCATAGGCAGAAGGTCAGGGACAAGCAGGTCACAGCCCTGGGCTCACATCAAGTATTTATGGAGCGCCTACCGCATATCCCAGCAGCCACTCAGATGAAGTATTTATGGAGCGCCTACTGCATATCCCAGCAGCCACTCAGATGAAGACTGGGCAGTCTACTTTCATAAAGATTTACCACCTCGGAAACCCAATGGGGGTCGCTAGGAGTCAGAATCAACTTGTTGGCAGTGGACACTGCCTGATGCGTGCTGGGGGCACTGCCACTATGGACTCTGCCCCCGTGGAGCTCAAGTCTAGCACAGATATGGACATTAACCTAGGACATAGTTAACCAGGAGCTACAAGAGTGCAAGGAACAGGGTAGGGGTGGTGCTCAGGGGAATGTGGGAGGCTCCAGTGTGGGGGTGGGGATCACTGCTCCAGGGCCCAGGGAAGGCTTCCTTCAAAAGAAGATGCCCAAGGAATGTTCTAGAAGAAGCCAGAACGGTGCTAGTTCCCTGTCTGCCTGCATGGAGCTGGACCCCAGGTATAAACAATGACTCAGACAAACACTTGTGCCAACAGAAGGCAGTCCGTTCTGCTCAATGGACTTCTGGCAGGAGACCCAGGCCTTCGAGGACGGCCAGGCTGACCACTGGAAGGTGGCCCATGGCCTGTGGGCCCTCAGGGTGCACTCCCACCCAGCGTCCCTGGGCTGCAGCGGCCAGCGTGGCGGACAGCAAACCCTTTGGGACCGTGCCCAAGATGGGGTATTTTTAGGCTGACATTTTGCAGGGCTCCTGGCGGCCCCGGGTGGTGGCCCCGGGCTGAGCGTCTGTGGGCGGGACGAGAGCTGACCTGGGTGTGGACGATGACACGGATGACTTTGCAGTACTTCTTCATGGCAGCAAAGTCTTTCTGGAGCTGCTTCCGGCCATCGGCGTCACGCCACCTCTTGCAGGCCTTGGTGAAGGCTTTCTTCTTGCTTTTGTGCCTGAACCACAGACGCAGGGGCGGATGCTCAGAGGTGCAGCAGGGACCCCCAGGCCTGCCCTGCCCCACAGCCCACCAGGGAGGGTTCTTAGAACCAGAAATGTCCCTCCTTTCTTTCCCACTGCCGGGACCTCCCCGGGCTGCTTCCTTCCCCATCTTTCAGCATAGCCCTGGGTCTCCTTCTCTGAAGGTGGGCACCCTCCCCGCCTCCCAGGGCCTGTGAGTGAGTGGTGGTTGAGCAGCAGGAGGCCGGCCCCACCTGCCCGCATTGCCACGGCTGCTGACCCCACTTCTGAAGCGAGCCCAGGCACCACGCCGTGGGCTTGGGACTCTGGAAGGTGGGAATGAGTGTCATGGTTGGACACATGAAGAGTCAGGTTCGCAGAAGTCACAGCTCTGGGCGAGGGCAAGCGCCTCGCACACCCAGGCCACTGGGTGTTCCCTAAGCATGGGCCTCTGCCCCAAAGGGAAGGGAGAGCATTTACAAGGGTCCCCAGGAGGGTGAGCCTTCCCTTTCAGGACTGAGAATGCCTCTCCGTTTTTGAGAGGTGGGTCAAGCCTGTTTCCCTTTTCACCCTGGCTGCTAGGAAGCTCAGCCAACTGTGGCCCTCCCTCAAGTTAGCCCTCTGTTAACCCTGGGGATTAGAATATCTACTCCCTCTGCCTCTTCCCATCCTGATTTCCTTGCCATCTTCTAGAACTCCCGTCTCATTGAAGGCAACACGCATGTGTGCACACACACATGCGCGTGCACACGCATGCGCACGCTCCCCCTCCTACTCATAGTTGACATTCTCTTCCTGTTGCCCTGGCCAGTCACTTCAGCACCGGGTTAGGGGCTCAGAGAAAGGGCACGGAAGGGCCTGCCCGACCCCTTGGCCCCAAGCCTTCGCCCCTCGCCGCAGGGCCCCTCACCAGTCTTTGTAGAAGCGGCGCCGGCACTCGTCACTGAGATGCTCTGCGAAGATGGTCTTGAAGCTCCGGAGGCCTCGAGGGGTGGCCACGTAGCCCACCACGCCCACCACCACGAGGGGCGGAGTTTCCACAATGGTCACCGCCTCCACCTCCTCCCGCCTGGAAATTTCTGGATGAGACCCAGGGACACGCATGGAGGGGACATTCCCAAGACTCAAGGGAACGGGGAGGTGGGGGTGGAGGGGGGAGCCAACCACTCCCCCAGCCCTCGACACGCCCCCCGCCCGCGACACGCCCCCCGCCCGCGACACGCCCCCCAGCCCGTGACACACCCCGCCCCCGACACGCCCCCGCCCTCGACACGCCCACTCCCTCCCATGCCTGGCTCCCTGCTCTGCTGGAGGGGGTGCCCACATGTTGGCTCTGACCCCTGTAATCTCAGGCCAGACCAGCTGGCTCCCAGACTCAGTTTCCCCACCCGACCACCAGATGGTCTCAGAGATCAGAGGTGAAGAGAGTTTCTTATTTTAGTAACTATAAATGTGTTTTGGTGGGTTCTAGACAAAGCTGTAATGAGTACAAACTCATGATTTCATGACTAGTCTTTCCTAGGCTGGCAGGAAATTAAAGATGCCCACTCCTCGGAAGGAAGGTTGGGCAATCCTACTTCCGTAGTGATACTGCCTCGGAAACCCAAGGAGGGGTCGCTATGAGTCGGGTTTGACTCGACGGCACATAACAACAACAACAACAACAGGTTTGTATTAGGAGAGATGGTTGAAGGGTTCGTGGTTGAGGGAGGTTGGGGCAGGAGGAAGGTGGCCGTGGCAACATGAGGGCACTTGGGCGTGGAATGTTGTGAACCATGACCGAGGTGGTGGGCACACGGATGTGTGCATGCATGAACTGGGATTGCAGAGAAATGCACACCCCATACATACGTGTGCAAGGAGACTGGGGAATTGGACAAAACATTGGGCAGCTTCCACACCAATGGCCTGGTGTGAGTGAGCACGGAGCACAGGGGTGCTGGGTGCTGGGCACACGGGCCAGTCTGTGCTGTGCTCACAGGTGCATTGTAGACCCGCCTGGGTCTACAGTGATCCCCACACAGAAAGATCATGCATGTATATTCTAATATGTCCCACCCCCAGATTACAGACGGGTTCTATTCCTAGGTCAGTCTTTGATTCAAATTTCTATGTACATTGAAACATTCCAGTAAGGTTCATATCCAACGTGTTAACCAATGTTTGTCTCCACATATAGTCTACAGTGCACCTTTCTGTGCATGAAAAACATTACTGAAACACTGCCAGATGCACTCAGACATCGTTAACAAAATAATATAGAAATGGTGATAGTGACACGTTGATATGCAGTACAAAGTTGTGTGTGTTTTCTTATGGAGCATTGCACGTGCCTCAAATTTTTAACATAGTAAGCTTTACGGGAGGAGCTCTGGTAGCATAGTGCCTAAGGCACTTGACTGCTAACCAGAAGGCTGACGGTTCAAACCCACCAGCCACTCCTCGGAAGGAAGGTTGGGCAATCCTACTTCCGTAGTGATACTGCCTCGGAAACCCAAGGAGGGGTCGCTATGAGTCAGGGCTGACTCCACGGCAAATAACAACAACAACAACAAGCTTTACGGGGGAGTTGGTTCCTAACTACAGGTTGTATGTAAGTCCGATGTTCCTAATACAGGGACAGCTCGTGTATTACACAGCATGCATTACATGTTATTAATATTATGTTGCATATTTATATGTAATATATAAGTGTACGTGGAGCTCTGGTGCAGTTAAAGCATTTGATTGCTAACCAGTTTGAACCCACCAGCTGCTCCATGGGAGAAAGATGAGGTACTCAGCTTCAGTAAGGACTGACGGCCTTGGAGACCCTATGGGGCAGTTCCACTCTGTCTTCTAGGGGCGCTGTGGGTCGAATGGACTCCACGCTGCCCCCTCACTGCCCTTGAGTCAGATCCGAGTCATAGCGACCCCTCCTCGGGTTTCTGAGGTGGTATCACTACAGAAGTAGATTGCCCAACCTTCCTTCCAAGGAGTGGCTAGTGGGTTTGAACCACCAGCCTTCTGGTTAGCAGTCAAATGACTTAGGCACTATGCACAGCAGTGGGCTTTTTAATATTTATAAGTTAAAAGACATTATTATGTCATGTGTTATATATGCCATATTACTTTATCAATATTTGGATGTTATATCCAGTACGCATTTCTGTGTCAAAACATTTCGTATCTTACATGTGTTGCATATTACATGTTACCCCTTACATATTTCTGGGTTAACATGTTATTGTTGTTGGGTGTTATGTATTGAGGTGCCCTGGGGCGCAGTGGTTAAGCGCTTGGCTGCGAGCTGAAGGGTCAGCAGTTCGAGTCCAGCAGCCGCTCCGAGGGAGAACGATGTGGCTGTTGGTTTCCACATAGCACCCACCCGTAACGTACCTGCACTGGAGCCTGGCCCTTCCACCAGCTTGCTGCCCGGGCAAGCTTCTAACTGCTCTGTGCCTCGATCCCCCTGCTTGTAAAATGGGGGCAACGACAGGACCCACCTTGAGGGTTGCCTGGTTGCTTGATAACAGTGAAGGTCAGGGTCATTCCTACACCTTCCTGATTGTTGTTCTCATAGGCAGGGCCTCAGTTTCCCCTCCTGGACCCTGAGTTCTGTCTCCTAGACGTTCCCAGGACGGTCTGGCCAGGTGGGTGCCCCCTCCCTTCCCTGTGTACCCTCCCCCACTCTCTACCCGCCACCGTGACGCACTGAGGCCTGGCCGGTGCACCTCACGCAGGGTGTGCGTCATGCCTGCCTTGTAGCCCAGGAAAGCCGTGAGGTGCACGGGCTGGCTGGGGTCATCCTTCGGCCACGCCTTCACCTTGCCCCGGTGCCGGCGGCTTCGCTTGTGGGGCAGGAAGCCCAGGTGCCCGTGCCGAGGGGCAGAGAACTTCCGGTGGGACTGTGGGCAGGAGGGGAGGAGGTCGGCACTGGGGTCTCCCTATGGATAGTCCTGGAGCCCAGGCCGAGGCCCGGGGTCATCCTCCCTACCTCCCCTATTGGTCTACAGGACAGAAGGGGAAGACTCGCCAACAGGCAGCTTATCTGGGATGACACCGGGACTCAGGACACAGGCCCCTCTCGCCCACACTCAGGGACTCAGCCAGCCCTGGAGGGGAGACCCATACGGGCAGGTGGCCGCTGCTGTCTGTCTCCCTGCCCGTTCGAGGCCCCAGCACTGGCCTTCTTGCCACCCCTTCCAATCACCCACCCCTCCCAGACTGCGGGACCATCCCTGCCGGGAGCCACCTCTGCTCCGGCCCAGCCCACCCCTGCCACTGTCACCGTGGCCGCACTGACCATGGTCGCTGTCCCCGCAGGTCCAGGAAGGGGCCTCCCCACCAGGCACTGGAGGTCGAGTGGCAGGGCCAGGACACACAGCAGCCAAGTCCCAGATTTAGCTGCTGGCAGGGGAGCTGGGTCACCTCCCAGGGCAGGCATGGGCACCAGTGCCAGGGGCCGCCCGGGCCAGGGCGGGGCGGGCATCAGACAGGCCGCCGGGTGGGGGCCTCCTCTCCTTGACAGCCCTGTCATGTTCAGTCTGTTTTCTGCCCCGTGAGATCCTGCTGGGGCAGGACCACCATGGCCAGGTGGATGGAGGTACCCTGGGGGTGGGGGGCTTCTCTCTGGCAGCTGCTGACTGGAAGGTCTGAGTTCAGTTTGCTGACAAGGAGGCAGCGGGGTTCCTGTCCTGGGAGCTGGGGACAGGGCTGGACGAACAGCAGGGTTGGAGGTTATGGGGGGAGGTGGCAGGGTCAGACTCTCTAATGGCCTGACCCAGGTTCGACTCTCTAACGGCCTGTGATCCAAGAACATTTATCTATTTATTTTAATGGCAATTAATTTTTTTCCCCTGAAAGTTTTGTAAGTACACTTTTTTCTTTATTTTTTCAGATCTTGGTTTGAGTGAAAGTTTACGGAGCACATTAGTCCGCCATTCAACAATTTATACACGTTTTGTTTTGTGACACTGATTGCAGTCCCCTCGAGGTCACACCATTCGCTCCCCCTTCCTTCCTGGGTCCCCGTTTTCGTTCATCCTTCTTTCCTGAGGCTTCCTGCCTCTGAGCTCTGTTCTGGGACAGATTCTGCCCTTTTGATCTCGTCTGGTTGATTGCACTGCAGGGTACATACTTCCTGGGCGTTACTTGATAGGCCTGTCTCTGGTGGTGCACTGGCTAAATAAAGCGTTCGGCTGCAAACCAGAAGGTTGGTGGTTAGAATCCAACAGTCGCTCCACAGAAGAAGGATGAGGGCTGCAGTCAGCTTCTGTAAGGATTTGTTGTTGTTGTTATGTGCCGTCGAATCGGCCCGACTCATAGCGACCCCTCCTTGGGTTTCCGATGCAGTATCACTACGGAAGTAGGATTGCCCAACCTTCCTTCTGAGGAGTGGCTGGTGGGTTTGAACCGCCAGCCGTCTGGTTAGCAGGCAAGTGTCTTAGCAACTATGTTACTGGAAACCCTGTGGGTCAGTTCCACTCTGTCCTCTAGGGGCGCTGTGGGTTGGAATCGATAATAGTGGGTTTCGTTTTGGTTTTGGTTTTATTGATTGGGTGAAGGTTAATCTCCAAGGGGTGGGTCCAGTTCCAGGGCGTCTAAGAGTTATGGTATGGGGGGTTCTACCAGGTTCCGAGGACATCTAGATACTTTCATGAGCTTAAATTTTGAACCTGAGTTTTGAATGGAAAAGAAATGCAAGGATTGAATCCTCTTGCGTTTTGATTCAGAAATCCCATGGTTGTAAAGCTCTGTGGCTTTAAAACCATGAGGTGTCTGAGGCCTCACACTTGTATCCTTAGGAGCTCTGGTGGCATAGTGCCTAAGGCATTTGACTGCTAACCAGAAGGCTGGCGGTTCAAACCCACCAGCCACTCCACAGAAAGAAGGTTGGGCAATCTATTTCCGTAGTGATTACCCCTCGGAAACCCAAGCAGGGGTCGCTGTGAGTCAGGTCTGATTCAACAGCACATAACAACAGCACAACAACAGCTGTATCCCTAGCGCCCAGCACATAGTGGGCGCTCCAAGAACGAAGATTGAGGAAGGAGACGCAGGTGCAATGGCGCCGAGGTCTCACGAGGGGGCGACCGTGTTGCGAGGCGTGTGCCGAGCCGGACAGAGCGGGGCAGATGGACTACAAGTCCCGTGATGCTTGGCGCCGCCGTCCGCCAGTACGCTGGCGCGGCGGACCGGGCGTCCTTTACAGCGGACGAACTAGGCCGAGCGAGCGAAGCGTCGGCCGGGTATACAACCTCGGCGCCCGCCACAGCCATGCCGGACAGCTGGGACAAGGACGTGTACCCCGAGCCCCCGCGGCGCACGCCGGCGCCCTCGCCGCAGACTTCGCTGCCTAACCCCATCACTTATCTGACCAAGGCCTTCGACTTCCTCGTGGATCGGCCCGTGACCCTCGTGAGAGGTACAGGCCCTCAGGCCGCGCCATCCCCGGGACCCCCGCTCCCCGGACGTCTCTGGGCCACGGAGCTTCACATGGACCGCTTATTGCAACCCGGGCCTCGCCTCCCAGAACCTCCCCACCGTTCCCGGGACCCCCGCCTCCGGGACCCCCCACTGCACCCAGGGCCTAGCCGTCCAGATCACCTTCCCAGCTGTCCCCGGGACCCCCAACCCCCAGCTCCATGGGTCCCCCACTGCACCTCGGGCCTTGCCGCCCAGAACATCTCCTGTGGCTTGCCTGGACCCCCCACCGCGCCCTCAGACATCCCCCAGGCTCAGTGGCCTCATATAGACCCCCCACAGCACCCAGGGCCTTGCCCCCCAGTACCCCCTGCTCCCCAGGGCCCAGGCCATCCCCCTGGGATAGTCCCTCGGGTCCCCTCGCTCCTTGGTTCCCCCTGCTGCACCTAGGAACCCACACTCTTAGTCCCACCCCCTGCACTGCACCCTTGGCCACCAGCCTCCTGGAACATCAGGCTCTGGGGGTGGGACTCTGTGTCCCAGGCCTGGTGGGTCTCAGCCTGCCCGCGGCGGGTGCACAGTGGCATGAAGGGGACACCCAGTGACCGCTGCTCACCCTCAGGGTGGTTGCATGCCCACAAAATGATCCTGTGGTCCTCGATGGGGAGGCCCCCCAACCTGGACACAATGCAGCTCACCTTCTGTGTGTGCCCTGTGTGGGAGCTGTCCACCTGCCCGTGTCCGGTTCTGTGGCAGGTTGGTCAGGACTGGTCTGTCATTCCCCGTCTGGGGTCCGGCCCAGTGGGGCAGGTCGGTCAGGATTGGTCTGTCATTCCCCGTCTGGGGTCCGGGCCAGTGGGGCAATCTAAGAACGTGCTCTGTCCTCAGTCATGAGTCAGGCACTTGTCCACTTATTTAATGAACCGATCCATTAAATCACACTGGGGCACATACCATGCTTGGTGGCGATTCTGTCGTTTCCTGTCATCGCCCTGGCACGACTCATGGCAATGCCAGGCACAGGTCTTGTGCCATCCCCCCAAATGATGGTGGACCAGACAGGCGTGAGCCATAGATTATTGTTGGCTGGCCCCCAACTAGGTTACAGGCCGTTCCTCAGCGTGGAAGCTCCGCTGAAACCCGTTCAGCAGGCTGGCAGCATGTCGTCCGCTGGGCGCAGTGCACTGGCTGGGAATTGAACCTGGGCCTCTCACGTGGAAGGCGAGAATCCTACCACTGACCCGCCGGCGGCGGTAGCATCTATGGCTGTTCTCTGTTGTCAGCCGTCCTGGCGTTGACTCACGGCGACCGCACGTGTGCAGACTAGAAGCGCTCTGTGGGATTATCAAGGCTGGGACCTTTCAGAAGCGGATGGCCAGGCCTGCCTTCTGAGGCACCTCTGAGCGGAGCGTGGAAGCATCTACTGCCCTGTGAATCAGTGCAGCAGATGGCCCAGCTCGGGTAGCAACGCTGTAGGGCATTTCAGATGCCCGGGCGCCATCTCATTGGGCCCACCTGTTAATCTACCAATGGGTGGCCTGAAGGCAGAGCAGGACGGGAACTCAGGCCGGGACCCCTGTGCTGTGGGGGGTGTAGCAGGAGGTGGGCTTCCACCAGAGGCCTGCAGCGCGAGGGCTTGGATGCCCACCTGGGTTCACAGCCCTGCCTTGTCACTTCCCAGCTGTCTGGAAGCCTGCCGCAGGTATAGACGAGGACACACTGCTGAGGGTTGTTGGACAGTGAGATGGTGTCACCACAGTCCCCCAGTCTTTGCCAGGACTGTCTCCCACCAAGCCTGTCCTTCAAGGCATGCTCTTGTCTGCGGAAGAGCGCAACGCATTTGGGAACTGTGCAGCCTGCCCACGCAGGCGGGCGTTTGACCCAGCTTCTCTCTGCAGACTTCATCGAGCGGCAGCATGCCAAGCACAAGTTCTACTACTACCACAGGGAGTTCCGCCGGGTGCCCGACATCACTGAGTGCCAGGAGAAGGACGTCCTGTGCATGTTCGAGGCGGAGATGCAGTGGCGGAGAGACTAGTAGGTCCAGCCCTTGGCCCTGTGCCCTCAGGGCTGTCCTCCTGGGGAGGCCGGCAGTGGCCTCAGCTGGCCAGGATGCTGCAGTGGGGAAGGGGTGCTCCGAGGCACTGCTTTGAGCCTACTTTCCCTGGGGGCGGGAGCCCTGGTGGTGCAGTGCTTAAGCACTGGGCTGCCAACAGAAAGGCCAGTGGTCTCTGGTGGAAAGGTGTGGCAGCCAGCTGCCAGAGACGACAGCAGCCTGGGACACCCTGTGGAGTCGGAATGGACTGGGTGGCAATGGGTTTGGTTTTGGGGGGCTTTTCCCTGGGTGCAGGGTAGCAGCTCCCCTCACGCTGCCTTCCCCATCCTTCTTTCAGCAAAGTTGACCAGGAGATCGTCAACATCATCCAGGAGCGCCTGAAGGCCTGCCAGCAGCGGGAGGGCGAGAGCTACCTGCAGAACTGTGCGCTGGAGCTGGAGCGCTTCGCCCAGGTGTCCAAGGCCTACCAGGACCGCTGTGAGTGCCCCCGGCCCCCAGTGGTTCTCCCAAAGGCCCTGCCTCAGGCCCACCCACAGCCATGACTTTCCTGGCCAGGGAGGTGGAGACCTCCATCCCTGTGTTGAGCATCTGTGACTTCTGGTCTCCCTTCCTAGATCATGACCTGGGGGCCCATTTCTCGGCCCGGAAGTGCCTGGCGAAGCAGAAGCAGCGGCTGCTGGCCCAGAGGAAAGCCGAGAAGGAGGCAGCAGCTGCCTGAAGCCCCAAGTCCCTCAATAAAGCTGGTTTTGACTCCTGGTGACCCTGTCACAGAATCATGTGGTTTTCTTGGATATAATCTTTACTAGAGATCACCAGGCCTTGATTCCAGTACGTTTGGGACAGGCTTGATCCATCAACCACAACTGACTATAAGCCACTGAGGCCACCTAGTGTGACCACCCACTCTTCTGTCCTTTCTGACCATAATGCACCCCTCCAACGCAGCAGTCTCTAGGTTTTGAGAGAACACACAAAAAGCTCAAACAGGCTTTTAATTCAATTGTTTTATTTGTCTTGTTTGTATAAAAACCACTATGTGGTGGCCACAGCTGGAGCCTGGGTCCTCTGCACGGAGACTCTGGTGTGGGTCTTCACGAGATGGTCTGTGAACTCCTGGAAAGATGGGGAAGGGCTTAACCACAGCCAGACACTGCCACACCCCCAGCTTCCCCCCGCCCCACAGCGGCAGGCATACCTGGTAGGGAGACTTGGTGAAGACGGTCTCCTTCCACAGATCAGGGGTCAGATAGCTGTAGGTCTTGGAGATGGCATCGAAAGTGGCCTTGGCTAGAAGGGGAACATTGGAAGGGTGGGACCTGGCTTGACACAAACTCCCCACCCAAGCCAGAGCTGGGAATAGGCCCTGGGGACATGCGACCTACCAAAGTTGCCCAAAGTGGCAGTGCAGCCCCTGGCGGAGGTGTAGCAGTCATCGATGCCAGCCATCATCAGGAGCTTCTTGGGCACAGGGGCGGAGACTATACCAGTACCCCTGGGTGCGGGGATGAGGCGCACCAGCACAGAGCCACATCGACCGGTCACCTGCAAGGCCACGGGTCAGGGGCCAAGGCCACATTCCACCGCGGGCCCCCCTCACTCCGCCGCCCAGCCTCTTACCTTGCAGGGTACTGTGTGGGGCTTCCCGATCTTGTTGCCCCAGTAGCCTCGCCGCACCGGGACAATGGACAACTTGGCCAGAATGATGGCCCCACGGATGGCGGTGGCCACCTCCTTGGAGCATTTAACACCCAGGCCAACGTGGCCGTTGTAGTCTCCAATGGCAACAAAGGCCTGCAAAAGACCATGAGGTGGATGGCGGCCAGTCCCCAAGCTGCCCAGCACCTACCCACCGCCCAGGGCTTGTCGCTCCCCTCCAGGAAAGAAAGGCCACAGGGAGGCCGATCCGAGGCCCGGAGGAGACCCTTTCTCTCTCTCACCGTTACGAAAGCCACACGTGTTAGCGCAGGTGTGACTGTGCAGAGCTGGGAGAGCCCGAGCCCCTGGGCCCTAAGACCCGGTAAGAGCCAAGCAAGCTACCTTGAACCTGGTGCGCTGGCCGGCGCGCGTCTGCTTCTGCACAGGCATGATCTTCAGAACCTCGTCCTTGAGAGACATCCCCAAGAAGAAGTCAATGATTTCAGACTCCTGAAAAAAAAAAAAAAAAGGGACCATGTGGCAAACTGTGACAACACCCACAGTCAGGGACCTCCGTGTGGACAGCAGTTCAAGCTTTCCACGCCCCTCAAAAACATGCTAGCACTCACGCAGAGATGATCCTGCAAAACGTCAGAGCCTCGAACCACTCAATGGCAGGACCCATAAGTCAGGGCTCCCAAACCAGCCCCAATGAGACCCCGGCCCGCCCCACGGCCCTGCATGTGCCCCGGGTCAGTCGGTACCTTGATGGGCAATGAAAACAGGTAGATCTCCTCCAGGGACTTGATCTTCATGTCCTTGACTAGCCGGCCCAGCTTGGTCACAGGGAGCCACTGGGGACACAAGAGTTAGCAGAGCCCCAGCTGGCCGGCCCCCGGGCCCACCCTGCGCACGCGCCCTAGGACCTACCTCCTTGTCCTCGGCTTTGCCTCCGCGAGCTCCCCGGCCTCGGCCACGACCCCGCCCACGGCCGCGACCCCGGCCCCGCAGGCCGCTGCCGAAACCTCCGCGGAAGCCGCCACGGGCTCCCATTCCCGGGCCCCCGGGACCTCCAGGCCCTCCCGCTGCACCGGCGTCATCCGCCATTTGCTGAAAAAGAACATTAAAAAGGAACTGGTCAGTAAAGCCCCGGGATCAAGGGCCGAGGCCCGGCTCAGACGGGGATCCCCGGCCAAGAGTGCGGGCGCGCGGGCACCGGCTCCGCCCGATGTCCGCGGATTCCCCTCGCCCGACCCGCGCGCCACCATCGTGACAAAAGAGACTCACGTGTTTTTCCGGAGAAGAAGAACGAGTCCGTTCGCGATAAAGCTTTTATATTGCACCAGATGTCGCGAGATCTAGCTTGCTCGCCCCGAGTCCGACCTAGCCCAGGGCCCTCGACGCAGGTCTGTGATTGGCTCCGCGACGCGTCGCTCCGCCCGCTCTACGTGAGCGTGCGCGTGCGCCTTGCTCCCGAGGTGGTGTGGGGGGGGGAGGCCGGAAGACGCAGGCGGAGCCAGGCAGGTCCAACACGTGGTGGCGCCTGTATAAAATGCACGCTGGCGGCGGTATCCCTTCTGAGGTCCTGCTTCCTCGAACATCGCTTTTCGGTGCCGGAAGGTAGGTCTACGCCTCTCGCACGTTGGCCCTGTTCTGCGCTTAACTGCGGCCCCACAGCGGTAGTCCCATGGGCGGCAGGCGGGGAACCCGGCGCTGGCTGAAAATCGCCGGTGGCTTAACCCGTAGCCGCGGGTGAGATTCAGCGCCCAGACCAACCGGGGGCCTCAGCTCACCGCCCACTGCCTCAGTGTGGGCGGCTGAAACCCAGGCCCCGACAGGCGCTGCAGCCTCCAGGCCCGAGTGTGCCACCTGCAGAAGGCGGGAAGTTTAGAAATGACCTGTACCGCAGATGAGCAGCAGGCCAACGAAGGGCTACTCCAGCTGATACAGGGTGTTCGTGACCTGGACTAAGGACCATTAACGTTAACGTAAACTTGCTTTGTGGTTTTGAGCCCTTGGTGGGCAATCAAGGAGGATCACGGGAAAATTAAGATGGCTGACTCCGCATGATAAAAGATAGAAGGTATGGGATCAATGGAGTGAAATACAGAAGGCTTGCCAGCAGAGCCTGCCCAAATCTAGCCCTAATATCTCGATAGTATAAGAAGACTGTTGCACACAGTTCGGGGCTGCTCCCACTGAGGCAGAACACACCCAGGTTTGAGAAACGGAAAGCCCCCAATAAGTATTCCCTGCCTCTTGCTGCCCGGACTGGCGCGCCGTCCTTCTTACTGTACTTCCTACTTACGCGTGCGTTTTTCAGAAAAGAAACCAACCACCATATACTCCGTGTACTCTGGAAACATACAAAGACCCTATAACTTTTATTTGGGGCTCAGTCTCTGGATATGAATGCACTGAGTCTGTGCTAGCACAAATAATTCTTCCTTTTTTATTTACTTATTTATTTATTTTGCTCCTTGTTAGCTTCTCTTGGTCACTCCGGTAATATTTCCTGGTGCATTGGCCGGGAAACCTCCTCTGTTCAGGCCCGCCCCCCCACTGGCCTGAGGGACCGGTAGCCTGGGCTGGTGTGATATTTGACACCATGTAGATGACTTACTTCAGGACAAGAGCTGGTCCTGGAAGACGACCTGCTGAGTGGGCTGGTGTGATATTTGACACCATGTAGATGACTTACTTCAGGACAAGAGCTGGTCCTGCCTCTGGCTCCAGAGACCTAGCAGGAGAAATGACCACCCTCCAGACGTCTGAACCAGGGTAAGTTACAGGGCCTCACAGGTAGCCAGGTCTGGTCAGCTCCCAGGGCGCTGTCCCAAGTCGCACCCAGATATGAGTGGTGAGAAACCACAGTAACCCACAGGCAGTACAGGATTTGGGGGTGGTGTGTGCACTAATACATGTGTGAATGAGTGTGTCTGTGGAGAGCCGCTCCACGGCATTCTATTCATCTTAACAAGGTCACAATACTTCCCTTCTTTGTTTTGGGCCTGTTGGACATCTTCAGACCTAAGTTTGAGTTTCGAGACCTGTCTTGAGCCTTCACTTCTGTATAGAAGTGATTCACTTTTAAATTTACCCGCCTCTTGCCATGTATCTATTTTTTATAGGTTCCTCTATTTCACCGTCAGCAACAACGTCACATCACCCCATTCCTTGATCCTGCCCCTTTCCTTTACCACATATAAGTATTTGTTTGAAATTCAATAAACAAGACTTGATCGGGCTTTCGACTTGTCTCCATTCTTCGCGTCTCTTGTCCCTTCCATTTCCACCCCCTCCTGCAGGTCCTAGGTTGACTGTCCCACGGGACGGGACACGTGGCGCCCAACGTGGGGCCTGGATACGAGGGAATCTGTGAGAAACGCTGCAAAGGACCGGCCGGTGTATAAAGAGAAAACAGACAGAGCTACAGTCGGCGAAGGAACCTGCTTCACCTAATCACTCTGGTAAGTTGCAGTGATCATGGGGCAAGAAATAAGTCAGCATGAAATATTTGTGGAACAGTTAAGAGAGGCGCTCAAGACGCAAGGAGTAAAGGTTAAAATAAAGCATCTTTTACAATTTTTTGATTTTATAAAAAAGGTTTGCCCGTGGTTCCCTCAGGAGGGTACGATAGATGAGAAACGCTGGCAGAGAGTGGGAGATGCACTTAAAGATTTTTATCAAACCTTCGGCCCCGAAAAGATTTCCTGTAACAACATTTTCCTACTGGAATTTAATTGGTGAAGTAATAGGAATCAGGACTTCTTGTCCTGAAGTAGCGGCGGCAATTGATCATGGTGAAGAAATTTTAAAGTCAGAAAAAGTCCCACTCCTAAGAATGTAGAAATAACAGTTAGTAAGCAAGAAAATCTCACACTTAAAGAGGAAAAAATAGTCACAGAGAAAGAACCTATTTGTCATTTCTCCCACAAGGACAGTGAGCCTAAGCATAAAACCAAGAATAAACTCTATCCCCAAATCAC